AACCCTAGTGAGTCATGATATGTTGGTTCTATCTCCTCTTCTAGAGACTACTAGACTAAATGACCTATCTGTGGTTTTCAGATAAATAATTCATCAACATGTAGATAACAATTCATTATCACAACTAATTGTTCATCAACAAGTATAGCCCTGTTAGAAGGGGCTTTGAGATTACAGCAACTTCCCAGCACTTTAAGCCCCAATTCTCACCAACATCCCCGAGTCTTCTGAGGCTGGGGCTGCAAACGGCATGCTCAGACAAAGTTCTGCTGAGCAAACTGCTATGGGCTAGATGCAGAGTTTCAAAGACGGTGTCCAGGCTGGGGGTGTAGCTTAGTGGCAGCATGCTACGCTTGCCCTAGCACGTACAAGGCACCAGGTTCAACCTTCAACACAGAGGGGGCCAAAACCAAAGCACTACCAAACCCAAAGCTGGCTTGTTTATCAAAAACAATGAGCCCTAAAGTGACCGAACGCCAGCCACTTCTCAGTGTGCCTCTGGAGATCTTGGGGAGAGGAGACCAGGCTTCCTCCCTCTCTCGCTGAGCCTGGGGAGGATCCATTCATTTCACAGATGAGTCTCTTTGGCAGCTCCTGTTCTTTACTTCCAACACGGACAGGAATAAACTGCTTCAAAATTGCTCAGAGGCACAGGAGAAGGAGTTAAGGATATGAACGCAGACTAGACTAGTCTGTGTCAATTTTCCAAAGTCCAGATTCATTCAGCTCAGTTGCCTACTGCTGGGCTCTCAATGGAAAGGGAGTCTTGGCCATGTACCATCTTTTGTTTCCCACATCTGCAACAATGAGTCATAACTCCACATGGAGTGTCTTAATATGTTCTCTAAGATTTATTTGTATTTTAAATTGTGTGTATGTGTGTGTGTGTGTGTGTGTGTGTGTGTGTGTGTGTGCGCGCGCGCATGTGTGTTTACACATTACTGCAGGTGCCCATGGAGTTCAGAGGTATCAGATCCTCTGGAGCTGGTATTATAGGTAGGCATGGGTGCTGGGAACAGAATTTGGGGTCTCTAGAAAAGCAACATGTGTTCGTAACTGGGGAATCATCTCTCCAGCCCTAATATATTCTTATCAGAGAAACAAGTACTACACAATTCCACAATGATCATCATAAGGCATCAGTTTCAAAAAAGTTTATGTAGATGTGTACATGGTGATCTCTGTACCACATGCTTGCAGTACTCGTTAAGGCTATAAGAGGGTGTTTGATCCTCTGGAAGGGGAGTTAAAGGAGGTTGTGCCTGACACAGGTGCTGAGAATTGAGCCTTGGTCCTCTGTAAGAGCAGGATGTGGCTGGGCAGAGGTGGCACACGCTTTAATCCCAGCACTCAGAAGGCAGAGGCAGGTGGGTCTCTGTGAGTTCCAGGACAGCCAGGGCTACTCAGGGAAACCCTGTCTCCAAAAACAAACGAAGACCAAAACAAAACAAAAAAGAGCAGTATGTGTTCTTAACCACTGAGCCATCTCTCCAGTTCCAACACCTGCTTTTTCAAAAAAGATTTTACACATACACACACACACACACACACACACACACACACACACACACACTTCATGCTTGGAAACCAAACTTCACTCCTGACTGCTTGGCTTATTCCAACCTCACAGCTGGCTCTTAGAAGCTTTTTTCTTGTGTTTCCCCCAGATAGGAAGGACCTCAGTTTTGGCCTATTTCTCATTCTCTGACAAGGTGAATGGATGGTAGGCAAATAGGGTTCTTTTAAAATCTGTGAGGCTGAGGGAGACATCCACAAGGTCGAGCTAATAGAAGCGTGTGAGACGGTAATGACACACTGTGGAAACAAGCTCTGCCACGGTGTTATTTCAAAGGAACTTGAACTTTCCGCGGGATCTCACTGAAGAAAAGTAAAATGAGGCAAATGGCAGAAAATAGCACTGCTGTCATGAAAGGGCCCGGACACCCTGACGGCTCGAAAATGTCAGACTAAGAAAGAAAACGACGGGAGGAGAAGAGTGGATCTGGGGCGCTCCTCACTCATATAGCTACGAGCAGTCATGAGACGACGGGCGACCTTTTAAGGAATTAAAGTCCTCAGGAAAAGAAACCCAGTATTTGGCCAAGAGTTAAAAAAAAATCTATCAAAATATTTTTATCTCTGGAATCACACTTGAAAATGACTTGGAAGCAAAAAGAATCAAGTGTGTTTACGGATGGAGAAACGGACAAAACCCAGACAGTTATCCTTTTAACTGGTGAACAGTCATGGACTTCTGTTTACAAGATGACTTGCTCAACTGCGTGTGATGTGTGCAGGTTTATTCACGTCATGGCATGTAAGTGGGGCTCAGGGGACAGTTCTGGGGTGCTCTCTTTTTCTTCCCACCTTTTTGTGGGTCCTCAGGTGTGAGAAGCAAGTGCTTTTACCTGCTGAGCCATATGGCCGGCTTCCACCTACCCCATTTAAAAAAAGAAATCTTTGTGTGGCCCAGCATGGTGGCACATACCTTTAATCTCCACATACAAGAGGAAGAGGCAGGTGGATCTCCATGAATTTGGGGCCAACCTAGCTTACACAATGAATTCCAGGACAGCCAGGGCTATGTAGACAGACCCTGTCTCAAAATACAAACAAACAAATAAATGAAAAAGCAAACAAATAAATAAAAACCTCTGTATGTGTGCAAGTATGGAGGTCAGAGGACACTCTTGGGTGACACCACCCCCACCCTCATGTTGTTTGAGACAGAATCACTTGTTGCTCATGGCTGTATTCCAGGCTGACTAGCTTGTTAGCTTCTGGAGGTTCTCCTGTTCCTGCCTCCCATTTTGCCACAGAAGCTCTGGAATTACAGATGTGTTATCCCACATTTGGCCTCAGGTGGATCTTGGGGATCCAAACTCAGGTCTTCATGGTTTCAGGTTAAGCACTTTACGCTATAAGCTTACCCTCTACCCTTTTACTAAGTGTCCTAAGTGTGGCTGTTTGTGAAGATGGTATGCCAAAGGCCCAGCAGAGCTTGAATTCCCGGTTAGTAAGCATCAGGAGTTGGAGGCTCCTCCATGACTTGATCTCCGTTACTGGGGGAAGCTGGAAAACCAGAATCCACAGCGGTGTCTGTTCTGTTTACCCCAAAGCGATTGCCAGATGCACCTTCTAAAATTGAAGCCTTGGGCTGGGGAAACAGGTTGGTAAAGTGCTCACGATCCGACCTGAACCCAATCCCCAGAGCCCACATAAAATAAGTGGGGACACAGCAGTGCATGCTTGTAACCCCAATGCCGGGGAGGTAGAGACAGGCAGAACTCTCATGTTCACTGTCTGGCTAACCTTGCCTATTTAGTGAGCTCAAGGTCAGTGAGAAACCCTATCTAAAAAAAACAAAACAAAACAAAAACAAGCATAATCACCAAAAAACCAAAGGTGTGGACTAGAGACTTAGCTCAGCAGTTAAAGACCTCCTCCTGCTTTTGTAGGAACTGGGTCAATTCCTAGCACCCACATTGTGGCTCCTGTGACTCTTCTGACCTCAAGGTCCTACATGCACACGGTGCACATAACATATACTCGGGCACACATACATACATGTGAGATAAAATAGATACATAAAAAAACCCCACCAGGTGGACAGTACCTGAGGAATGATATCCAAAACTGACCTCTGACTTCTACATGGATGCATATACATGTGCACACACATACATACACTCATGTACACATATACATATAGATAACCACCTATGCCACAGGGTTTGAACTCTGCCCAAAACTGGGACAACCAGACCCCATTTCCTTATCAAATGTCATGTTCCAACATCAAACATATGTAGACTGGATTTAATTATCTCCTGAATGTGTCACTGGCACCTTGGCCCCCTGAATCTGGTTCCTTATGGTTCAAATGCCAGGTGGTTCCATACCCTGGTCATCTCACAGGTTTTCAAAACCCCCTACTATGCGCCCTGAGTTAGTGGGTCTCTGTCTTCATCTGAGGAAGGGTGTGAAGAGAGGAGGTCAGGGACCAGGTTCCTCGAGTGAGCGGCAGTGACTGGCAGGGAATTTGACAGCTGTGACCTTCGTTACCCTATCAAAGGTCATCCTCCACATAGCAGGGCCTTACCTTCCACTCTCAGCTGCTGGCTTGATGCCTGGCACAAGAAAAGTCCCCCATAAACAGGGTTTTTAAATTTTATTTCTTGGGGTTCTGGAGACAGCCTTGCTACCACTAAGCTCTAGTAAATATGTCTTTTTCTTAACTTTTAATTGCAAAATGCATATTTTAAACAAAATCAAGGAATGGATTTATAGCAACCACAATCTATAATTCGTTAACTTTTTTTGTTTTTTCAATAGCTGCTCTAGGACAACTCTGCCTGGCTATTGCTTAAAGCTTAGACAGGGTCTAATGTATCCTAGACTGGCAACAAACTCCCTACATGCCTGAGGATGCCTTAGAAGTCCTGATCCTCCTGCCCCTAAGTCCCAAGTGCTGAGATTACAGGCGCGTGACGTCATGTCCAGCATGGACCTTTCTCCTTCAGAGCCAATACACAGATACATTTGAAACACAACGACACATGTAAAGGTTTTGTAATTGTAAAGTATGTATGTGTACATAAGCACCCAGAAAACCTAATAGCTTAGGTTAGTCAATGTTTCTGTGAAATCATCATTAAGTGAATTATTTCAACAAAAAATAACAGTTACTAAAACTTCAGATACTACAATACAACTCCCAATTGGTTCTATATGGTGCTGGGCAAGCCCTGAACTATACACCTAACCTACTGTCTAAAGTTCCATTGCAACATTGAAAAGAAAGCACGATCAACAGAGTGTGCCAGGACAGCCAGGGCTTCATAGAGAAACGCTGTCTCGAAAAACAAACAAACCCCAAAAATACAAAAAAAAAAAAAAAAGACAAGAAAGATTCTGATCCCATTTCCAAAGCCGAGGGAGGGAGGGGTAACACAAACCCATAGGCCATGAGAATGTTTACGAATCTTCTGGGAACTTACCTTCGTTTCCCGGAGAAGAAACTGCAGGTCACGCCCACTGAGAATGCCGTGATTTTTCACGTAACTGGGAATGTTCTTTGTGCTGGAGCCATAAACAGTGGCATGCACTTCCATGTATGTGTGAATGATATCCAAGTAGACTTTCTTATTCTAGAGAGGGGACATTAGGAGAAAGCGCATTAGCGAAACAACCTGTTTGGTAGGTCAGAGTCCCTGGGAACAGAGACAGGAAAGGTCAATGCTGAGGTCTGAGACTTGTGCGCATCAAAACTGAGATTTATGTTAAAGGCAATCTGGCCCAGGGATGGAGACATGGCTCAGTAGGTAAGCATGGCAGCCTGCCTGCAACCGTGGCGGTAAGGAGGCAGGGACAAAGGATCCCTAGGGTAAGTTGGCTAGCTAGACTAGCCAAATCAATGACCTCTGGGTTCAAGTGAGAGATGGTCTCAATACCCAAGGTGGAGAATGAACAGGGAGACACCGATGTCAACCTTTGGTTTCATATGTACCACACACACACACACACACACACACACACACACACACACACACACACAAGTATATATATGCCCACATACATGCATACCCATACACATGCATACACACTTCTGTAGAGACGCATATACACATGAAAATAGGAATCTGTTTGGATCTTGAGGACAAAACAAGCATATTGCCACTATACAAGTCTGCAATCAGAACCGTGTTGTCTCTCTAGTTAATATATAAATATTACAGAATAACAAGTCTTGTGTGTGCATATATATGTATATAATTAATATATAAGTATTGCAGAATAACAGCAGTCATGGTCAAGTGTTTGGAAGTATCATTTTTACTTTGGGAATTACTAGGGACCCAGTGTATTGCTTTTGGCTCATCCTGGTTTTTGGGAAGGAAGTTTGTGTGTGGTGGGGTAGGGATGAAGGCTTGGAGAAGGCAGTCAGTTGGACTGGAATATTTATCCAGAGTTGTTAAGCTGTCTCCAGGGAATACAAACATGCCCTGCTTGCCAGTATTTCTTGTGATGATTAACTCACACTGTCAGAACTGCAGCCCACTTCTCTCTGAAGCTGGGCAAGAGAGGGGTTCTCACAGAGTAGGGATGGACCCAGTCTCCGGAGAGCTGAGAATACCCAGGTGAGTCTTAGAGACAGCGAGGTTGAGTGGGAACTGTGAGGCTCCGTGAGCAGTGGGGAACACTCAGACTTTTGTCAGAAGCAAACCCAAAGGTCCCGCATCTGGAGGCCCAGGTTTCCAGGTCCCAAAACTGAAACCACCTGTTCCAAGGACGCAGGCTCACTTTCACTTCCCCTTACATACACGTGTGCCTGAGTTACACAAGCAGATTTTGTATGGCACGCCCCCGCCTTTCCTTTTTAATTTGAAGGATCCAAGCTCTGTAATGATTTCCAGTTGTGTCAAAGTAGCACACGCATTTTCCTAGTCTGTGTCCCCCGCCCCACACATACACATTGGGCAAATCTAGTAATAGCCAGTTTGTGACCAAAGAAAGAACTTGGGGGGGGAGGGAGGGAGGGAGAGAGAGAGAGAGAGAGAGAGAGAGAGAGAGAGAGAGAGAGAGAGAGAGAGAGAGAGAGAGAGAGAGAGAGAGTGTGCTGGGTGGCCCTAGCAGGCCAGAGTGCAGAGAAGTGGACTAAAACTCTATGCCTGCCATTCCTTCTCCTGTGACTATGACATAGCACCTTGGACTTGGGAGGAAACCTTTCAGAAACCCAGCTAAGCCAAGTTAAAATGACCTATTTTGTGCATCAGAGTAACAGCCGGCAATAAACAACCTTCTGACTGCAGGCTAGCCCAGGAGTAAAGGAAACATGTGAACCGCAGGCTCAGTCCTGCGCTGTGCATGTTTGCTGTGGCGGAAAGCTGCAGAGCTCATCTATGGTTTCAGAGATGTGGCCTCTTGACCAAGCAAGAGTGGAACAGTTTATAAGACCTGACTTCTTAAAGCCCGAGCCTGCTGAGGATCGTCTACCGCCTGTAAGTTAATTGGTAGGGTTCTAGCGTATGGGTGCCTGTACTAGGCATCTAGTAGCTCCTGTTCTCAGTGTCTTTTCAGAACCCCACTACACCCCTATTCCCTGGGAAGGAGGCAGGGAGCTCTGTAACCCCACTGACTTCCCTAATGGCCAAGTGGAGACCCAGTTCCAGGGCAGCTAGCAGCCCCAAAGATCCTGTGAGATCCTCTCCAGCACTCAGACTGTTCAACACAGAGGGCTAAGGGGCAAAGTGTTGGAGTCAGCACAAACAAGCGAAAATAGGGCAGTCAGGAGGCAATGAGAGGGGCTCAGGGCACCACCTCTCAGAATGAGGGAGCGAGGCAGACACACAGAGAAAAATGGAGGAGGAAGGAAGGGGAAAGAGCAGAGGGGGAAGGGAGAGGAACAAGGAGGAAGAAAAGGCCAAGAAAGAGGAAGAGGAGGAGGAGAAGGAAGTAGAGGAGGAAGAGGGAAGGAGAGGGGAGAGGAGGAGGAGTGTGAGGAGAAGGAAGTAGAGGAGGAGGAAGGAGGAGTGTGAGGAAAAGTGGAGAGCCAGGCTTGGGGTGTAGCTCAGTATTAGAACATGCACCTAGCGTGCATGAAACCCCGTGCATCTCTCTCCATGCCATCCTGGGCTACATGAGATACTACCCTCCCCGCCCCCTCCTAAAAAAAAGCAAAGACACTGGAAGAAGCCAGTGTCCAAGGTTTAGCGATGGCCATGCTACCTTCATGAGTCTCTAGACACCTACACTAGCAACGGTGCTGGCCACCCCTACATTTTCACTTGAGTCACTTGGGGCAGATTCTTCTCACACAAAAGAGGCTCTCAGGACAGTCCGCTGGCTTTGAAGTGGGGACTGGAAGTGGACGCAGGCATCTGTCCCTGATGCAAAGAGAGGCCTCGCTGCTAACAACCAGCTGCTGGCTGGGGAGGCCCCAGCAGGGGCTGCAGCAAGCCACAGACGCAAAAGGCCCATGTGGTTTCATTTGAGCCGAAACTCCTTCCCTGCAGACAGATTCAAGATTAGGATCCCAGACAAAGGCCTGGGAAAGGAAGGATCTGCAAGGTCACACATGTGCTGTGACCAAATCCAGGAAAGGCGTGGCAGGGGTGGGGGTGCTCCAAGCAGGAAGGCATAGGCAAGGAGGAAGCCTATGGAAAGGCTCAACAAGTAGAGATTCCCTTCAGGGAGGCCTTAAATAGTCAACTGAGAAGATACTGGCAGGAGATCAGAGGGGGATGCTTCCCGCAGAGCTAACCTTTGAAGTAGATGCGACAGGTAATGCTACTTCTCTCTGCTACGCCTTTAGTCACACGCAAACATCTTGCCATCATCTAGGGTGTCAGCTGTGATTTAGTACAGCCACCTACCAATAGTTCACGCTTTGGAAAGTCACATGTTAGTGGCATCTGATGGTGGACCTTTGGAAGCAATTAGGATTACAGAAATTGAGATCTCATCATAGCTAGCCTTGTGGAGGTTTTGCAGAAATCTGGGAGACGGAGCCATGTTTCTGTTCCAAATGGAGCTGCAACCAGACACTCTCAGACAGCTCCCCACTGAGACTAGAAATCTGACAGAAAGCAACTTAAGCAGAGAGGAGTGGAGTTTGGCTTGTAGTCTGAGGGCATATAGTCTGTCGCGGTGGGGAATAGGAGGCCCTGGTCACACTGCCTCCAGTCAGTCAGGAATCAGAGAGAATAGCAAGCTGGACCAGGTTGTAAATCCCAAGGGCTCACCCCGTGACCCTCCTCCTTCAGCGAGGCTCTCTACCTAATTTTACAGAATGCCTCCAGCTAGGGACCAAGTGAACCTATATGGAAAGGGAAATCTCAAATTCAAATCACAGTAATTCCCCAGATGTGTGTGTGTGTGTATGCAAATATGGTGCTGTCAATGATGAGTTTTGAGGTAGAGTCTCTCATTGGCCTGGGGCTTACTGACTTGATCTCAGAAAACTTCCTATCTCCACCTCCCCTGTCTGGGAATGACAACTGTATGCCACTGCAACCGATTTTTAAACATGGGCTCTGGAGACCAGACTCTGGTTCTCCTGCTTGTGTGGCAAAGTACATTCCCACCGAGACATTACCGTAATCATTTTAACAGACCCTGCGGCTCAAAAAGGCCTGAAATTTCCAGGAAGGACTGTGTCAAACGTCACTACAAAATAACGACTATGCCTCAATGTTTTATCTGAAAAGAAAAGAAAAAGACTAACATGGGAAGCAATGTTAGGCATATGGATAGTGTTTATACATGTGGGTGTTTGTAGTTCAAGTCCATAACTTTGCACGAGGATGATCTAAATTAACTTCCAGATGCTGGGTACTGAGGAGTGATCACTTGCAGGGGTGGACACAGCTTGACTAATAACTGTAATATATAATCGCTACATTAAAATACCACCAGATCTCAACATCAGTAAATCTGGGTAGCATTTGGAGGTCAGCTATGATTTAATAGGTCTACCGATAGCTCACGCTTTGAAAATTCACATGTTAATGGTATCTGGAGGTGGAGGACCTTTGGGGAAGTAATTAGGATGAGATGAAGTCTGAGGGGTGGGGGTGACCCTCATGATGGAATAATGGCTTTATAAAAAGGGGCAGAAACCCCGCGTTAGCACACTTGTTCTGGATGGCTACATGAGGCCCCTCACATTGCTATGATGTAGCTAGAGGCTCTTGCCAGACCCTGAGTAAATGATAACCATGTGCCGGAACTTCCCAGCCTCAAGTATTTCATTAAAACAAAAATGGGTTAAGGCAACACTTTACACATGTATGTGCATGTGTGCACACACAAGCTGGAGGTCCACCTTGGATGTGGTTCCTCAGATGCTGTCTACCTTGTGTTTTGAGATAGTTTCTCACGGACCCAGGGCTCGCTGGTTGAGAGAAGCACCCCCCCCCCACCTCTCAGGGCTGGGATTCCAAGCATAGATCAGCGCACCCAGGGTCATGAGACTTGGGGTGAACAGACTCCACATGTCTGTCACTCACAAGATTCATCAGGGCCCCTCTGCAGAGTTACACAAGCAGATAACAACTCCCGTGACAGACACGACCATCCCAGCTCCTGAGAGGGGACCTCACAGACTGCTGAGGTGCCTGCAAGCCATGCAGAGAGCTCTGGGGCTACA